AGTGGGGAGTGAGAGCTTCCTTGCCGCCAGGCACTATGAACAAAGCTACTTTGCCGGCATTCCCACAATGCCATGCGGGCATCCAGATTTTTTCTATGGTGTGCACACTGACCACCCAGACCCATTCTCTTAGATGTAGGCCTACCAGCCTTCTCGTGCTAAATTTGACATCGCTAGAATTTTGGCGTAGATCTATGGTTTGGACCCTGAACGTAAAGCCATACATCTATGGGACGGACCCTGAAAGGGTTAAAATTAGCTAAAATTTTCACCCTTTGGTAAATATTAAGACTGATGATAATAAGTTTTTATTTTGGCATATTTTGAAGTGTGGGCAATTATTGCCAATATTAATTAACATCAAATTTGTTTGAAAGATTTACTTCATTTTTTTTTTTTTAACACATCGACCGATTCCCACCAAGGAAGGGTGGCCTGAAAAAGAAAAACTTTCAGCATCATTCACTCCATCACTGTCTTGCCAGAGGGGTGCTTACATTACAGTTATAAAGCTGCAACATTAACACCCCTCCTTCTGAGTGTAGACACTGTACTTCCCATCTCCAGGACTCAAGTCCGGCCTGCCAGTTTCTCTGAATCCCTTCATAAATGTTACTTTGCTCACACTCCAAAAGCACGTCGAGTATTAAAAACCATTTGTCTCCATTGACTCCTATCAAATATGCTCACGCACGCTTCCTGGAAGTCCAAACCCCCTCGCACAAAACCTCCTTTACCTCCTCCCTCCAACCCTTCCTAGGCCGACCCCTACCCCGCCTTCCCTCCTCTACAGATTTATACCCTCTCGAAGTCATTCTGTTTTGTTTCATTCTCTCTACATGTCCAAATCACTTCAACAACACCTCCTCAGCCCTCTGGATAATAGTTTGGTAATCCTACACTTTCTCCTAATTTCCAAACTACGAATTCTCTGCATTGTGTTCACACCACACATTGCCCTCATACATGACATCTCCACTGCCTCCAGCCTTCTCCTCATTGCAACATTCATCACCCATGCTTCACACCCATACAAGAGTGTTGGTGTAACTATACTCTGATACATTCCCCTCTTTGCTTCCATGGACAAAGTTCTTTGTCTCCACAGACTCCTAAGTGCACCATTCACCCTTTTTCCCTCATCAATTCTATGATTCACCTTATCCTTCATAGACCCATCTGCTGACACATCCACTCGTAAATATCTAAATACATTCACCTCCTCCATACTCTCTCCCTCCAATCTGATATCCAATCTTTCATCACCTAACCTTTTTGTTATCCTCATAACCTTACTCTTTCCTATATTCACTTTTAATTTTCTTCTTTTACATACCCTACCAAATTCATCCACTAACCTCTGCAACTTCTCTTCAGAAACTCCCAAAAGCACAGTGTCATCTGCAAAGAGCAACTGTGACAACTCCCACTTTGTGTTTGACTCTTTATCTTTTAACTCCACGCCTCTTGCCAAGACCCTCACATTTACTTCTCTTTCAACTCCATCTATAAATATATTGAACAACCACGGTGACATCACACATCCTTGTCTAAGGCCTACTTTTATTGGGAAATACAGTGGAATCTCGACCAATGATGGCATTGTATAAGGTTGAATCCGACTAGCGATACATTTTAACGCAAAAATTTTGCCTCGACTAGCGCTAAAAAACTCAACCAATACGATTCGTTCCGTTCGAGATGCGTCCACATGTGGCCTGAGCGCACCTCACTTGTCCCGTGGGGTGCCAGTGTTTACAGGCCAGCCAGGCACCGCGGTCCCATCCAAACATACAATCGGAACATTTCATCTTATCACAGCCTTTTTAGTGATTGCACCTGCAAAATAAATCATCATGGGCCCCAAGAAAGCTTCTAGTGCCAACCCTACAGCAAAAAGGGTGAGAATTACTATGGATATGAAGAAAGAGATCATTGCTAAGTATGAAAGTGGAGTGTGTGTCTCTGAGCTGGCCAGGTTGTACACAAAACCCCAATCAATCATCGCTACTATTGTGGCCAAGAAAATGGCAATCAAGGAAGCTGTTCTTGCCAAAGGGGTAACTATGTTTTCGAAACAGAGATCGCAAGTGATAGAAGATGTTGAGAGACTGTTATTGGTGTGGATAAACGAAAAACAGATAGCAGGAGATAGCATCTCTCAAGCGGTCATATGTGAAAAGGCTAGGAAGTTGCATGATGATTTAATTAGAAAAATGCCTTCAACTAGTAGTGATGTGAGTGAATTTAAGGCCAGCAAAGGTTGATTTTAGAAATTTAAGAATCGTAGTGGCATGCATAGTGTGATAAGGCATGGTGAGGCTGCCAGTTCGGACCACAAAGTGGCTGAAAAATATGTGCAGGAATTCAAGGGGTACATAGACAGTGAAGGACTGAAACCTGAAAAAGTGTTTAATTGTGACGAAACAGGCCTGTTTTCGAAGAAAATGTCAAGCAGGACCTACATTACTCAGGAGGAAAAGGCACTCTCAGGACATAAGCCTATGAAAGACAGGCTTACTCTGTTGATGACTCACGAAATCGTTGATGTGTGCTAATGCTAGTGGTGATTGCAAAGTGAAGCCTTTTTTGGTGTATCACTCTGAAACTCCCAGAGTGTTCAGGAAAAACAATGTCATCAAGGCTAATTTGTGTGTGCTGTGGAAGGCAAACAGTAAGGCATGGGTCACTAGGGACTTTTTCTATGACTGGTTACACCATGCATTTGCCCCCACTGTGAAAAATTACCTCCTGGAAAATAAATTGGACCTTAACTGCCTCCTGGTATTAGACAATGCTCCTGGTCATCCTTCAGACTTGGCAGAGCGACTTTCTGGGGACATGAGCTTTATTAAGGTCAAGTTTTTGCCTCCTAATACCACTCCTCTCCTGCAGCCCATGGACCAGCAGGTCATTGCAAACTTCAAAAACTGTACGCAAAAGCTATGTTTGAAAGGTGCTGTGTAGTGACCTCAGAAACTCAATTGACTCTAAGAGAGTTTTGGAGAGATAACTTTAGAATCCTCAATTGTGTAAACATTATAGGTAAGGCTTGGGAGGAAGTGACTAAGAGGACCTTGAACTCTGCTTGGAAAAAACTGTGGCCAGAATGTATAGACAAAAGGGATTTTGAAGGGTTTGAGGCTAACCCTGGGAATCCTATGCCAGTTGAGGAATCCATTGTGGCATTGGGGAAGTCCTTGGGGTTGGAGGTTAGTGGGGAGGATGTGGAAGAGTTGGTGGAGGAGGACAATGAAGAACTAACCACTGATGAGCTGCTAGATCATCTTCAACAGCAAGAGGCCAGACCTGAGGAAACTGCTTCGGAGGAGGGGATAGAGAAATTGAAGAAGTTGCCTACTTCAAAGATTAAGGAAATCTGTGCAATGTGGCTTGAAGTGCAAACCTTTTTTGATGAAAATCACCCTCACACAGCTATTGCAAGCCGTGCTGGTGACTATTACACTGACAATGTTGTGAAACACTTTAGGAATGTCATAAAGGAACGGGAGGTACAAGCCTCTATGGACAGATATGTTGTGCGACAGAGGTCCAGTGACTCTCAAGCTGGTCCTAGTGGCATTAAAAGAAGAAGGGAGGTAACCCCGGAAAAGGACTTGACACCTCAAGTCCTAATGGAAGGGGATTCCCCTTCTAAACACTAAGACCATCAACACTCTCCCCTCCTCCCATCCCATCAATCATCACCAGATCTTCAATAAAGGTAAGTGTCATGTAACTGTGCATGTCTTCTTCAGTTTGTGTGCATTAAAATTAATATTTCATGTGGTAAAATTTTTTTTTTCAATACTTTGGGGTGTCAGAAACGGATTAATTTGATTTCCATTACTTCTTATGGGGAAAATTAACTCGACTAACGAAAATTTCGATTAACGATGAGCTCTCAGGAATGGATTAATATCGTTGGTCGAGGGTCCACTGTAATAAGAGTTAAATGAACTCATATTATTGTGCTGGGTTGATTATTTTGCAGTGAAACATCACAAGAAATTCTCCAAGAGAAATATGTCAAGAAACAGTTTGTACTGGTGATTTACTCCCATAGACTTGTACCACAAATTTACTGGTCAGTTTGTACTTAAAGTGGTCTATATTATTTCTAGTCTCCCTCAAATTGTGATGTGCCTTTTGATAAGTTGATGAATGAGACACTTGGGTATCTTAATTGTGGAAATGTTTTCCCAGCCAGTGGCTTGATCACTCCAGTACAGTGTAGACTGCTGGAAAACAAGGAGTTTGAGGTAATCAATCCCTTAGCCTAGAGTCAATAGTTTTAGTCCATCAGTCTTGTTAAAAGTACAGCATATGCATGGTGAAAGGGTATATATACTACAGTGTCTCATTCATCAACTTGCCAGTTTTCTTAAACATTTATATAATAATTTGTATTGATATCATTTGATCACCTATTCATAGGTTTTCATTACGTACTGCCTTTGACACTTTCATAATACATTGGAACCTCTATTTGTGAGTTTAATTCATTCCATGACCTTGCTCGCAACTGGATTTGCTCGTTTGCAGAGTCAATTTCCCTCATTTAAATTAACTGAAATGCAATTAATCCGTTCCAGTGGAATTCTGTACTTCAATAATTTCGCTGACCTCAACTCTCCGGCTTATTTATCTATCTCACTTCATCTAATATGACATAATAAACAATATAAATAACATAGAAACCTGATATATACTGTAAAATGAATAAAATATGTCATTCATGTAGTGGTATGGGCGGTGTCGGCAGTGGACGAGAGTTTGTTTGGAGACCTGGCAAAATACTTCATGAATAATTTCGCTAATATCATCTATACGGCTTATTTATCTACCACAGTTCATCTAATATGACATAACAAACAATATAAATAACATAGAAACATGATATATATTATATAATATATAAGAGATTAATGATTAAGAGATGTGTATTATTATAATTAAGTTGGGTAATGTATAAGCTAAATTTTATGCATTTTTTTCAGCCTTCCATAAAGCAGGTAAGCCTGAAGAAGCCTTCAGGGTGCTGGAACAACTTACAATGAATGCTGTGAATGAGAATCGCTTTGACGATGCAGGCTACTACTTCTGGATGCTCTCTATGCAGTGTCTTGACATAGCTGAAGAAGAGTGAGTCTCAGTATTACTCATTGTCTTAATGCTTCATTTTTTAAACACATTGGCTGTTTTCCATGGAGGCAGGGTGTCCCAATAAAGAAGAAACACATTCATCATCACTCACTCCATCACTGTCTTGCCAGAGGCATTCCAATGCAGCCTCTCCTCACATAGTGATGTACTCGTTTACCAATGACTCGGACTAACGATGGGCTTTCAGACCAGTATGCATATGTAAATAATGTATATTACAGTTGATTTCCTCAATTCTGTTGATTACAATATACAGTACACTACTATGTAAACATTTAAAAATATACTAAATATAAACGGTGCAGAGGTGACATTAAAACAATATCAAAGATGGTTGACAGAAACCTACTACCATTATAGTATGCTCCTTGCTTAGCAATGAATTCATTTACCAATATTAATGAATGTATTAATAATTTTCTAAAAAAGACCCAAAACCTTTATAACAAGCACTGCTCTAAAACTAAAAAAACTAAACAGATAACTGCAAAGAGACTGAACAGTCCCTGGCTAACACCCAGTATCCTCAAATCCATAAATACAAAGCACCTATACGAAAAACAGTACAGAATGGGCCACATAACCAGAGACCAAACAAAACGTTACTCGTCAATCCTAACCAGCCTAATAAGAAGGGCTAAAAAATTGTATTGTGAGAACAGATTATCCAGCTTATGAGGTGACATAAAAAAGACCTGGAAAACCCTATCAGAAATACTAGGAACAAAAAAGATAACACGAAATAGCAAAATGGAATTAACAAAACCAGATGAACCCCAATTCCCACCTACTGAAACAGCAAACAGACTCAATGATTTCTTCTCCACTATAGGAAAAAACCTTGCCAATAAAATCCCAAGCTCAGATACCCCACCCAATGACTACCTCACTGGCAACTACCCGAACACACTGTTCCTAGCTCTGATTAACCCAACTGAAGTCTCCCTTATTATTAACAAACTATAAAACAAGACAGGAGATTTAAATACCTTACCACCCATTATATACAAAAAAGTGTCACAGGTGCTATCACCAATCATTGCAACACTCTTTAACAAATCCATTGAATCCTCTACCTTTCCTACAGTTCTCAAAATAGCAAGGGTCACCCCGATCCATAAAGGAGGAGACCACACAGACTTGAATAACTATAGGCCAATATCCAACTTACACCCTCTCTCTAAACTCTTTGAAAAATTAATCCATAAACGTATCGATTCCTACCTCATCTCTCACAACATACTCAATCCCTGTCAATTTGGGTTAAGGCCTAATAAAAATACTAATGATGCTATTATCCACATGCTAGAACATATTTATACAGCAATAGAGAAAAAAGAAGTCCCACAGGGGATCTTCATTGACTTACGTGAAGCTTTGGATACAGTTGACCACGACTTGCTCCACATAAAATTGTCACGCTTTGGTATAAGAGGGCACTCCCTCAACTACCTAAAGTCATACCTCAGCAACAGAAGCCAATATGTGTACACAAATGGGGTAAACTCTTCCACACAGCCAATTACGGTTGATGTCCCACAGGGAAGTGTCCTAGGCCCTCTTCTCTTTCTCATATACATAAATGACCTACCAAATGCATCACAACTACTCAAACCCACACTATTTGCAGATGACACTACATACGTCTTCTCTCACCCGAGCCCAGTCATGCTAGCCAATACTGTAAATACCGAATTACAGAAAATATCAACCTGGATGAGGACCAACAAACTTACTCTAAACATTGACAAAACCTACTACATTCAGTTTGGTAGCAGAGCTGCAGATGTGTCTCTTAACATAATGATAAATGGATCACCTATCACAAAACTCACAGAGGGAAAATTCCTAGGAATCCACCTTGATAATAGACTCAAATTTCAAACACATATACAACAAATTTCCAAAAAAATTTCCAAGACTATAGGCATACTATCGAAGATACGGTACTATGTTCCACAGTCAGCCCTCCTGGCCCTATATCACTCACTTATTTACCCCTATCTCACCTATGGAATTTGTGCATGGGGCTCAAGAACAATAAACCATCTCAGACCACTAATCACCCAACAAAAGGCTGCAGTCAGAATGATAACAAATTCCCACTACAGGCAGCACACTCCACCCATATTCAAAACTCTAAACCTACTCAAAATACAAAACATCCATACTTATTACTGCAAATACTTCATACATAGAACACTGAACTCTGACATAAACCCTCCCCTCAAACATCTTACCAACCTCAACAGAACACATGACCATAACACAAGACACAGATCACTCTTTGATGTTCCTCGTGTCCATTGCATGCTATGCAAAAACTCAATGCACATAAAAGGCCCTAAAATCTGGAATTCATTACCTGTGAATGTAAAAGAAACACTGTCTGTTTATAAATTCAAGTCTCTTCTCAAAAATCACTTACTCACCCACAACTAAATAAATACTGAATAATTGTATCTCATAAATTGTATCTTATATATGTATCTCATTATTGTATTATTGTATCATTATTGTTTTTGTAATACTCATTTGTGCTTGTTATCTGTTTACAATATTGTTTTACCACTGAATACTTCATTGCTTAGTTAATCTTAAGTTAATTTTAAGCCTGCCCATAATGCTATGCATTCAAGTGGCTTTAGCATGCTGCATTTAACTGTATTCTTTTGTACTTCTCTGTATCATGTTCAAATTAATAAATAAATAAATAAAATAAATGTGGTCTTAGGAATGGAACTCTTCATTAAGTGAGGAGAGCCTGTACTACAGTTGCAAAACTGCAATGTATCTCCACCCCTCCTTCAGAGTGTAGGCACATTTCTAAGAAAATTTCAAAACACTTGGCTAACATTAAAAAATATGCTATATACTCATGCATCATAACTTGCTCTGTACTATACTCTATCCTTACCTTACTTTTGATATTTGCTTATAGAAATTTACAATAACAGCTCAACAGAAAACTGCTATTACAATGATCACTCGAAGATGAACTTCCAGACAACATCCACACTCCTTTGCCAAGCATTTAAAGTTATTCAATACAAAAAGTATTCACACTATTGTGCATACTATGCATACAAGACATTCAGTACAAGCATTTAATGCTCAGGTTGTTCTTAGAGAGCTGCAACAGAACACCGACACAATACAAGCACCTCTTGTAATGATTGAACCTGTTTAGAAACTCCATGGAGATAAAAGGCCCAAAACTGGAACACACTATAGTAGACCGTCAATTACATTTCTGAAAATGCAGTGTTAGACAAATCTGTGTTAAGCGAACTGAAGAACTTATGGGAAAAATAGGGCTATGTTCCAGGGACCCCATAAAAAGTCAAACAACTTTTTTTTTTTTTTTTTTTTTTTAGATCTCTAGATCTTACAAAAATAAAAATAATAATGTAATTGTTGTTCATTGTTATTATGTATTATATTTTTCTATTGCTTATGGCTACAAATGCAACTGAAGTAATATTTCATACCTTAAATTGTGGTTGCTGGTGTTTATCGATGATTGTGAAGGTAGTGGAGAGGCATACTGTATCCCTACTGGGATTAGGTGGATAGTTCATTGTCAGCTGAGGTGGATAGTAGTCACATCTGTCAGTCAGTTCAGTTAGTCAGTTAAGTCAGTCCAATCAAGTCAGTCAGTAGTTCAATCAAGTAAGTCAAGTCAGTAAGTCATTCAAGTCAGTCAGTAAGTCAAGTCAGTCAAATCAGTAAGTCAGTTAAATCAGTAGCTCAGTCCAGTTAGTCAAATCAGTAGGTCAGTCCAGTTAGTCAAGTAAGTCTGTCAGGTCAGTCAAGTCCGTGGGTCAGTCAGTCAAGTAAGTCAAGTCAGTTATTCATTGCACAAGTCTGTATATTTGTCTCTTTAATTATACGAACGAAAGCTGCATTAACCCTTTGAAGGTCGAGACCCTTACTCACAAACTTGCTCCCAGGGTCGAAGAATTTAAAAAAAAATGTCTTATGAAATAATAGAGAATCATTTTCTATAAGTAATGAAACCAAGAGCACGAAATTTGATGGTAAACTTATGGAATTATGCTCTCACAAAATTGACAACATTTATGCATTGGCAATATTTGCGCATTGGCAATTTCACCCACTTTGATCCCTCTTTTGGACCAATTCCATTGTTCCAGTCGACAAACTCAAAGCTATTTAGCTAGAACTCCTTTTATTCTATCGATTGAGTACAAGAAACTGCCCATTTACCTATTTCAACTACCCAATAAAGTGATCAGAATTACTAATTTGGCCAGTTTCAGACAAAATTCAAGAAATGCCAATTTCCAAATAGAGTCTAGAATAAATAATGAAGACATTCCTGACACTTAAATAACATTTTCTCTGTTCATTAGTCACGTCTCAATTTCCATTGACACAAAATAATAGATTTGCTGTTATTCAGACTACTGCAAAATGGTAATAAAGTGGAAACTCAAATATTGAATTTAATCCATTCCAGGAGCTAGTTCTAAATTTGAAAAGTCTGAAAATTGAGGCAATATTTCCCATAAGAAATAATGGAAATACAATTAATCCGTTCCAGAAACTCAAAAATATTCACAAAAAAATACATTTTATAGAGATTAATTACAGTTTTGCATGCACACAACAAATACTATAGTGTTCAATTATGTATATAAATATAAAATAACATTTTTACTTAACTTTATTGAAGATTGGTGATGGCATCTGGAAGATAGGGAGGAGGAGAGAGGGATTTGAGGTTAGTGTTTGGAAGGAGAATCTCCCCTCCATGAGGACTTTAGGTATCAAAGCCCTCTTTGGGGTTACTTCCCTTCTCTGTCTTTTAATGCCACTAGGACCAGCTTGAGAGTCATTGGACCCCAGTCTCACAAAACAACTGTCCACAGTCCTCTGTTTCTGGCGCCTCTTTACATTTCCCTAAAATGGGACATGGTTCTGTCATTTAACTGGTTCCTGGAGTTTTTTTGTAC